ATTAAAAATACTTTCAAACAAAAAATGTGTTGAAGTCATTGTTAAAAAAGATAAATAGATAGATAGATAGAAAGAGAAAGAGAGAGAGAGAGAGAGAAAGAGAGAGAGAGAGGGAGAGAGAAAGAGAGAGAGAAAGAGAGAGAAAGAAAGTGTGTGAGTGTGTGAGTGTATGTGTGTATGTGTGTGTGTGTGTGTGTGTGAAGGAAAAATAATAAAAAGGTGCAACTACGCAATGGGAAAGTTGTGCAGATATTTTTGATGTAACTACCATAATGGGCAGGAAAGAAAGAAAAAAAATAACACATGAAAAGAAAATAATAAAAAAGGGGTAGAATTAAAAAGAGATAGCTATTATAAATGTCAAATTTGATAAAATAAAACCCAATTAGTTAATTTTAAATTAATTTTAAATTTCAAAACTAAAAGAATCTACACGGAAGGCCTTTTTTTGATCATTTATGCAAATCAAGGCTTTGGATTAACATTATTCCGCAAGATTAACATGGTACATCGAATATTCGAACATTAATTCCATAGATTAATATTTTCAGATGATCATTTCGTGAAAAAACGTCGCTGGACGTTCGTTTGGTAAAAAAAGCGTCACCGGACGTTCATTTCGCGGAAAAAACGTTTCTGAACACTCAATTCGCGGAAAAAATATCACCAGACGTTCATTTCGCAGAAAAAGCGTCTCCAGATGTTCAATTCGCGAAAAAAACAACACCAGACGTTCAATTCGCGGAAAAAACGTCACCAGACGTTCATTTCGCGGAAAAAATGTCACCAGACGTTCAATTCACGGAAAAAACATCACCGGACGTTCATTTTGCGGAAGAAAATATCACCAGATGTTCATTTCGCGGAAAAAAACATCACCGGACATTCGTTTTGCAGAAAAAATATCACTGAACGTTCATTTTGCGGAAAAAACATCACTAAACGTTTGTTTCGTGGAAAAAAACGTCACCAGATGTTCATTTCGTGGAAAAAACGTTTCTGGACACTCATTTCGGAAAACGTTAGTTCTAAATAAAAATTATCTAAATAAAAATTAAAATGATTATTAATTTTTTTATTTTAACGGCTTTTTATTATTGCATTTTAAAATAAATAAACAATATAATGCAGATCGGACTATAATGGGTTAATTCTATTTTTAATTCTGCAGATTGTCGATCTGTTTACATATGATCAAAATTTCAAACTCAATTATCTCAAAATCACGTTTTTCGGAGTTTTCAGTTTTTCTACTGCAAAGGTCCCATCTATACAAATAGAAAGTTAGCTATTGATAACAAACCTTAATAATCAAATTGTATAAATGTAAAATTATATAGAAGATCAAAAATAAAATAGCAGAATTGAAAAAACAATTATAGCGAACTTATGACAATATAAATGAAATGCAAAACTTATATGATGAATAATGTAAAAATAATAAAATTTTTATTAGACAATGAATTTAAGATTTACTAATCAGTAAAAATATGTCAATATAATTATTGAGATAGCAAATGCAAAACACATATCATTATTTGATAATTTAGAATCACTAATTTGAGATAGCAATAGATTTTCTATAAAAAATCTTGTAATATATAGTTTTTGTAAATAGTTCAATAAGCGTAATAAAGTTGTTATAACATTTATCAAAACTTTGGTTCAAAATATTCAAAGTACTGATACTTTAAGTCAAGAAAAACTTTTTAAAATTGCTGTTGCAATTGATTCAATATATGATGCATAACATGAAAAGTATATTTCAGAAATTCAACTTGCCTTTTTAGCTATTAAGTATTCAATCATATGATCAAAGATGGTTATCAATATTGATAATCATATTACAAGTTTAGGAAGTTACTTTTAATTTCAAAAATGGTTGGAAGAATTATCAAAGCAAGAAGAACCATTACCTGAAGAATTTTTATTTCTTGTATTTGATAATAAACAAAGTAGGCAAAAAAATTATCTTGACCAAGATTACAATACAGTAATTTACCATATCATTACAGAACAGAATTCAACATACTGATTCACCTTGGGCATATCACTCCATACTTCTGCTACCTTCTGAAATGTATCTTTCTCTTCCTCTAAATATTTTATTTCAGCCTCCAAATCATTTTTATTCTCCTCCAAAATTCTCTTTTCTTCCTCATTTTTTTCTTTTCTTAATTTATTATTCAACTTCCTCAATTCATTCTTCAGATTCGCTAATTTTTTCAACTCTTCTTCGGCCTCTCCTAATTTTTTCGTTCATTTCGTAAAATTTAAAAAAAATCACTTGCAGATCATTGATATTTGAGTTATTACGTTACGGATCATATGATTTACAGCATAGGGATCCTTAACGTGTACCCCGGGTGTAGATTTTTATCCTAGACGGAGGGTTATTCTGTACCCCCCTGGGCTGGCATTAACTTAACTTTGATCAAGATTAAGAAATTTAAAATTACATAATATATAAAACATATAAAACGTTTTTTATTTATTTATTTATTCATTATTATCGCTTTTATCTAATTCATTTACATCAAAATCATCTACAAAAAAAATATTAAATTGATCATTATTATCTTTCTCTACTTCAATATTTTCTAATTTACTTGTTATATTTATTTCTTTTTTTCCTTCATAATCGTTATTGGGTGATTTTTTAATCTCAGATTTGCGAATGTTACACGATCTATTAATCGGAAAAATGATCACAGATTCAAAAATATTTTTTTAAAAATGGGAAAATCGTCAAAAGACAAACGAGATATTTATTATAGATTAGCAAAAGAACAAGGTTGGAGAGCCAGAAGCGCATTCAAATTACTTCAAATTGATGAAGAATTTAATATTTTTGAAGGTGATTAAAATTCAAAATTTTTTTTATTTTTTTTCCATATAAATTTTAGTTTGGGTATTTAAATTTTTCGTATAGGAGTTCAACGGGCAGTTGACTTATGTGCTGCTCCTGGTAGTTGGTCTCAAGTTTTAACAAAAAAATTAAGGTAAGGTTTGACATTAGATTATTTTCATATCATTGAAAGAAAGTTATTTAATTACAATTCTGATTTCATAGTGAAAATAATTCTAAGGATTCACCACTTCCAAAAATTGTTGCAGTTGACTTACAAGCAATGGTAAATATTACAAACATCCAAATCTTTCTATTTAAGCCATGACTTAGATAAATTAAATCTTCATTGAGGCACCTCTTGAAGGAGTTATCCAAATTCAAGGCGATATCACCAAATTATCAACAGCAGAACAAATTATTTCGTATTTTGAAGGAGAATTAGCAGATCTCGTAGTATGCGATGGCGCACCGGATGGTATCTAATCGAGAAAAAAAGCTCCAATTTCAATACATTAAATTTACTTACCAATATTAACTGCTATGTACAAATAGTAACTGGACTTCATGATATGGATGAATATATTCAAGCACAATTATTGTTATCAGCATTAAATATTACGACGCATATCTTACATCCGGGGGGAACTTTTATAGCAAAGATTTTTCGTGGTAAAGATGTCACTTTATTATACTCTCAACTTAAAATTTTCTTTCCAACCGTCACTTGTAGTAAGCCTAGAAGCTCAAGAAATTCAAGCATAGGTATCGTTTTTTTATTATGCTTTGTCAAAAAAAAAAAAAATTTCAAAAATGTTAATAATAACTCGTATGATTGATTTAATCTTCCAGAAGCGTTTATCGTATGTCAAAATTATACTCCTCCAAAAGATTATGTTCCAACAATGATCAATCCTTTACTCGATTTATCCTATGGTTAGTATTCATTTATAACGCGTCGTAATTTCCTTCATTTTACATTATTAATTAACGCGTTTTATTTTATTTATTTATTTATTTATTTTTAAATAATAATATAGGAAAACAAAATGAACTCTTAGGACCAAATCGCGTGATAGTTCCGTTTATCGCATGCGGTGATCTAAGGTAACAAATTCATGTCATCGTTTTCCAATAAGAAATCTTAATAAATTTCGCTAAATTCATTTGTATAATTCAAAAATAGTGGATTTGATTCGGATATGACTTATCCACTTGAGGTATATAATATATATTTATTAATTGGTTCAAAATTATTAATTAAAATATTCTAAAATAATTTAAATCATTTTTCTCTTATATAGAAGGAGAGTTTAGAACCATTACAACCTCCAATAAGTGCACCTTATCGTACTGCAATTACTTTAAAACAACAAAATTTTTATAATAAAGTCCCGTAATGTTTCATCTAAAGACTAAGCTTACTGAAAATCGTAGGAGTTCCAGTATATTCTCCTGTATCTTTTGCTTTGGCTTTGGCTTTAACCATTATCTCTTTAATTTGAGACCTATCCAAATCATCCCTTTTAGATAAAATATCTTCAATAAGTCCAATTGGTACATCACCGTATGCTTTTTTAAGATTATAATAATCCAAATATATTGATTTACGTGGACTTTCTACTAAAGTATGAATTCTTGTCAATGAATCGAACCTACTGTTTAATTCCTGTGGTGGAATATGTTGTTGAAAAAATGCATACGCGATCCCTTTATCTTTTGCCATACGGTTTATACAATCTGGTTTTCTAAATTTAGCACCTTTATTACGCATTGATTCAATGTATGCTATAATGAAGCGATCTAACGTATTGGTCATAATTTTATCTTTCAAATATTCATTTAAATGGGTACAAAAATCAAAAGTGTAATCTTTAATGGTTTCAATTATTAACAACATTGAATCTTCTTGATACCATTCTGATGTAAAAAATTGACTGAATGGTTTCTTAAGATCATTAAATACAACATCTAACAATGTGTCTTTGGCTGCTCTTGCAACTGATAGAAATCCTTTCATGGTTTCTTCAAGGTCATTGTTGATTTGATTTCTATACTTTTCGGATAATAAGGGTGCTAATCGATTCAAAACTTCATCCGTAAAATCCGCACATCGAATTTGATCATTTGCCAGTGCAATAACATAATCAACAAATCCTGGTGGTACTTCATCAGGTTTATCAATTTGTTTCTTCAATTCTGATTTTAACAAATTCATCCAAGTTTGTTGCGTTTCCAACATAACTTCGCAACATTCTTTAACAACATCGGCCAAAATCTTTCCTTGACCTGATTCTACTGCAACATCAATTTGTTGATTTACAATTTGAAACATGTATACCGACCCAGAAAGATAATATAGATCACCATCCTCTTCTGGGGCTTTACTTCTTTCCACGAAGTCATTAGTTTCACCATTCATCAAATTTGACATCCACGTATCAACTAATTCGCGAACCAACTTAAGATAATCATTAATCAAATCTTGCTCTCGTCCATCAAGCAAAGGAGGTTCAAGTATATCTTCAGAAATCCGAATTTCTTTATTCATTCTCTTATAATAAGATCTAACCCACCGAATCAGTCTTAGTATCGTCCCTGCGTCTGGATCATTATTGACAATCCTATCAAGTATGTTATAGACATGACGATGATATGCTAACACATATACCGAAAAGATATTATACTTTTTGGGAAAACGTGGAACAATCTCTTGAAATACCAACGCCAAATCATCAAATATGAAATCTAATTGATCCAACAATTCTGTTGGTGTATCCTTGTATTTATCATAAAATTCTTCAAATAATTCTGAAATGGAATCATGAAGTTTATCCTGAAATCGACTACGAAATGATCTAATTACACGAGGACTTGTTTGAACAGACTTGAATTTTGTTGCAAGATCCTGATGACTATGTCTAGCATGCTCTGCTGTCTTAGCCTTTTCATCAGCTCGTTCTTCTGCTTCGATCACCTTAACGATTCGAACAATTACAGACCCTTGCTCATTCCTAGCTAAATTCATAATATTCTTTGACAAGGTCCAAAGATAATCTAAAAAATCTTCTGATACAACATCCAACCTTTTAAAATATTGTTTCAGTGTAAGAAAGTCATCATCTTGTGACGAGGTATTTGCTTGGTACATTGTAATATCTCTGAATTCCTGTAAACGAAAAAGTTGATAATGAATAAATAATAAATTTTTTGCCGGGCCAAGAATGTTTAACTTTTCGATCTCTAGCATATTTTGCATTTGATCAATTGTCAAATGCATTTCTTGCAATCGTTGAACGGTATCTTGAGTCGCGATAAAATTACGGTGAATTTGGGAAATCTGAATCAAATATCATAAAGCTAATTGTTATGAAAAAATCACGTTTTAAATAATTTTGGTTTAAAAAGAAAAATACCGAGTCTATTTTTATCTTTTCACCTTATTGATCCTTGGGAAGTGCTGGATCATATTTTGTGCTTCAGAACATAAGCGATCTATGGTTTGCATGTTATCCTTAATCGTATTCATTTTTTCTTTGGAAGAAGTCAGCATATCAATTCCTTCTTGCGTAGTATCTAACTGTGCTTTTACTCCATTTTTAAGTTGAGCATCGTTGTTTGCTTTTTCAATCGCCAATCTTTTACGTAAAAGGCTAGTTTTTACTAAATCGTCCGGAGATCTCAAAATTTCTGCTACTCGCGCGATGGCCGCTTCTACGGCGTCACTCGAAGTCTCCATATATACTTGGAAAACTTCGAGAATAACATATAGTTTTTATAGTTTTTATACTATGTTAATTTTTGATAAACCTAAATATGTTAATAATGTTCTACCCTAATTTACCTATTAAGGATTTTTTGTGAGATGTAACTCTTACTGTATAACTGGTATTAAGATTAAATCAATTCGTATTACATAACGTCCTCGGATACCCTTTGAATTTTTTTTTTATCTCTGATACTTTAGTTCTTTTTTTTTTTTAAAAAAAAAAAAATAAAGTATAAAGAAGAAAAAAAGCATGTCGGACGCAGACAATGAAACTTCCCTTCCTAAGGATGTTGATACTTATCTTAGGAAGTTAGCAGAGACTAAAGTGCCTGTCCCCGACATAGATTTTACAGTTCATGAAATGGATGATGGTAGCAAGGTATCAACTCTGGATCGATTTTGTAAAGGTTCGTGTATGGTTTTCTTAATTCATTTATTGAACTGCTATTAGGTTAAAAGAGTTCAATAAACAACAAGAAACTCGTCAGAACGTTCATTTGAAAGGCTTAACACGCGAGAGTCGGGACACCTTTCCTTGCATTATAGCAGTTAAGGTGGACTGTACTCACGTTTGGTATTGCACACCTATTTAATAATAATCTTCAACAACACAAACTTTGGAACAATCTCATTGTTTTCTCATTCTCATTAAACGTATTTATATTATATCCTTGCAGACGTCCAAGCACCCGCTGTCCAGATACCTACATCCGAGCTTTTCTTCTCAAAGGAAGATTCAGAAAAGCCCGATATCGTGTTTTTAAAGGACCATTTTTATCGTGAGGGAAGAATTTCAGATGAACACGCTTTATACATTATTAATAAGGGTACTGAAATATTAAAAGAAGAATCGAATCTATTAGAAGTGGATGCTCCCATAACAGGTATTATTATTTTCTTTATTTTCTTGCAATGTCCTCGCTACTTAATCCGAAACAAATTTTGATTTTATCTCCATATCATTCAAGTATGTGGTGATATTCATGGTCAATTTTATGATTTGATGAAATTGTTCGAAGTGGGTGGTAATCCTGCCGAAACTCGGTACCTCTTTCTTGGTGATTATGTGGATAGAGGTTATTTTTCCATTGAGGCATGTCCCTCTCGTTATTCATTTACTATACATTTTTTTTCATTATGAATTATTAATTAATTACTTTCAATTTTCCTTTCATGTAGTGTGTGCTTTATTTGTGGGCTTTAAAAATATGGTACCCAAACACATTATTTTTATTACGCGGTAATCACGAATGTCGTCACCTTACAGACTATTTCACATTTAAGCTGGAATGTAAGTTTACTTCTCTTATATAAATAATGTTTATGTTATTTATGAATATCAATGAATGCGTTAATATTATTTCTTCTCAATAGGTAAACATAAGTATTCTGAAAATGTTTATGACGCTTGCATGGAATCCTTCTGTGCACTTCCACTTGCTGCCATAATGAATAAACAATTTCTATGCATTCATGGTGGTTTGTCACCTGAATTGAATACATTGGATGATCTGCGTAATGTATGTAATGTGTGTATTTTTGAAGCTTGTAATCTTCTAACCTTTTTATTTTAATAGATTAATCGATTCAGAGAGCCCCCAACGCATGGGTTAATGTGTGATTTATTATGGGCCGATCCTTTAGAAGAATTTGGACAAGAAAAGACAAATGAATGCTTTATACATAATCATGTTCGAGGATGCTCGTATTTTTTCAGGTAATTTGAAGTTACTTTCTTATACGTTGGCGAGTTGAATTTCTATCTTTATTAAATTTCTTGAATTTTATTTTTAATAGTTATCACGCGGCCTGTAACTTTTTAGAAAAAAATGGATTATTGTCTATTATTCGTGCACATGAAGCTCAGGATGCTGGGCAAGCATTTTTAAAATTGATGCTATATCATTTAAATACGAAAACTGTGTAACTCAATTTTTTATATCATTGTATAAATAGGTATCGAATGTATCGAAAGACAAAGACAACAGGCTTCCCTTCAGTAATGACTATCTTTTCTGCTCCTAATTATTTGGATGTATATAATAACAAAGGTTGGTATAAATAATAGATATTTTCTTTATAGGTTTGATATTGGTATTTAATTTTATATATATATATATATATAATTTTTTTTAGCGGCCGTTTTGAAGTATGAAAACAATGTAATGAACATTCGTCAATTCAATTGTACTCCTCATCCTTACTGGCTACCCAATTTTATGGATGTGTTTACTTGGTCCCTTCCTTTCGTCGGTGAAAAGAGTATGTATAAATTATTAATATATTCCTATATAACATATATGGAGAAGAAAATTTTACTCATATTTTCCTCTCTCGCCTCATTTAGTTACAGATATGCTACTTGTAATCTTAAATATTTGTAGTAAAGAAGAATTAGCGGATGAAGAACTTATATCGGAGCCTAAATCACCAGGTAGTTATCCTACAATGGTATTGTCGAACAATATATGTGCAACGGTTCCTTAATGAATGTAAAATACATAAAATATTTAGAGAGATTAACTGAATTATTGTAATTAATAGCTATATCGCGTTATATGTTATAAAATAAATTATTTATATAACTTGTTTTTACATTTGTTAATTCAGAAACGCCAACAGCATCGGCAGAAAGTTCAGAAAGGCGTCAAGTAATCAAAAATAAGATTTTGGCGGTTGGTAAAATGGCCAGAGTATTTTCCGTTCTTAGGTACTTTATCTAATATTTATTAATTGCATAAAATTATGAATTTTAAATGTTAAACCCTTTTTTATAAAAAATAATAATAATAATAATAATAAACAGAGAAGAATCAGAACGCGTTATGGAGCTAAAGAATGTAACGGGTACTGGTAGATTACCGTACGGTACTTTAGCTTTAGGAGCTGAAGGTATCAAGAAAGGTATTTATCAACAAATTATGAAAATCATATGTACTTGTATAACAGTAAATACTATTTAATTAATAATTATTTATTTTCTTTTTCTCTCCCCCCCCCCCCAATAAAATAGCAATCACTTCATTTGAAGAAGCACGCCGGTCAGATATTGAAAATGAACGATTGCCTCCGACCCGACAAGAAGTTGATGCAGCAGAACATGCAAAAACTAAACAGGCAATTGATGCTGCCATTGAAGAGGTGAATCAAGATAAAGAATTAGCGGAGGTTGCAGAGGTCTTCGTTAAGGAAGACGAAAAAAGAAGAAGTTTAAAAGAAGCTACAATTGTTGCTAGTGCTTGAGTTACTAAGTATATAATTATTTTTATATTGATATGTTTTTCGGTGTAACTTATTTCTTTTTTGTTAATAGAAGCAGGTGTTATGAATTCTTCACCTCCATGGATTTAAAACGCAAAAAAACTTAAACTTCAAATGATTCGAATGAAGATTTTGGATTGTAGAATAATTTGGATATTTTATTTTATTATATTTTTATTACGTTTTTATTTACTTTATTTATTTTTGAATTAAAATATTTATTTGTAAATTCTCGATTTTTTATATATATATATTTATTTTATTTTTTTTTTTTTTTTCAATTCGTTTGCTATTCAATTCAAATTGTAACCTTTCTTGAATTTTATTTTATTTTTTTTTTTTAAAAAAAAAAAAAAAAAACAAGCTTTGCTTAAATTTATTTTATCATAAATGATTTTTTTGACATTTTTAGTAAGGTTAAAAATTTTATTGTATTAAAATAGATTGATTAAAATCAGATCGAAATTAGATCATCCCAAATGATCTACAGGAGACTTGTCGCACATAATGTTGCAAATTGGAAAGGCACATGATGTTCAGGCGACGGTTACGTAATTTCACATATAAAAAAGCCCATTGAATTCAAACAAAAAAAAAAAAAAAAAAAAAAACTACCCACTTTCTTTCGAATAATAATAAAAATGATTGAAAGTATTCAAAATATTTACATTCGAAATATTGAAACAAGAGACACACCAAAACCACATACAGTTTATAGGGTAGAGGTGAATGCTGCAGTTAGAACTTGGTCAGTTTGGAAGCGGTATAGTGAATTTGATGAATTAAATGACAAACTTATAAGACTTTTCCCGAGTAATCCACCACCATTTGAAATACCCGTCAAACATTATTTTCAGTCTACCCTTGGAAACCCGGTGTTGGTAGAGGAAAGGCGTAGAGGTTTGGAAGATTATTTAAGGGGAATACTTTTTCATAAAGATGATCGTTGGAGAGAGACCGATGAATGGAGAGAATTCTTGGCTATACCAACAGGTCGATCACTTGATTCTGCATCATTGTATACTTCAGAAAGTTGGCTTGACGAGTATAATGATGTGCAAGCCAAAGCTAAAGAGATTAGGTCACTTTTAAATAAACGTGAAACTCACATTGCACGTAATGAAGTACAATTGTCACATAACTTTAATTTGCAGGCAAAGAAAAATTTGACGTTACTTGGAATGCGGGTGTCACAACTTGATGCGGGTCTTAGAGGGCTCGCGGAAGGAAATGGGAAAGATGGGAAAGTAATGTCAGAAGGAGAATTGAGAAGACGACAAGATATGTTGACAGAAACTAAAGAAGAAAAAGATACTTTGACAAAACTTGTATTGACGTCGAGAACTGATATTAGTAAAGCGACCACACCAGCAAGTTCGGTGGATCGATCAGCTTTATTCCGACAACCTTTTAAACAAACCCCAATCAATAAAGGAATGGTTGGTAAAAATAATAATGATGGAATTTCTTCTAAAGTAGCACCAGTAACACCGTCAAGAAGGGTTTTTGGTAATAATCGATCTACCATGCCAACAGAAACAGAACAAACTCGTGGGTTGGATAATGATGGATTAGTTAATTTACAAAAACAAACTATGGAAGATCAAGACCATCATGTTGAACAGTTCAGCGCTATATTAAGTAGACATAAACATATTGGTTTAGCTATAGGTCAAGAATTAGATTATCAAAATCAATTGTTAACTGAGTTGGATGGAGATCTCGAGAGAACTTCTGATAAATTAAGGTTCACCTCAAGGAAAATGAATTCAATTAAATAATTTTTTTTATCTTTATTATCCTTTATTTATTTATTAAAAAAAAAAAATTTCAGGGATTTTTTTTTCGTTTCTTTTCTTATTTCGTGGTAGAAATTTGAATTTTTTTTTTTTTTTTTTTTTTTTGATTTTTTTAATTTTTGATTTATTTTTTGATTTTTGATTTTGTTTTATATATTTTCAACTTGTTATAATTATTATCTTAACAAACATTATTAGTAAACTACATAGAAATCATCATGAGGGGCAAATAAAGTTATTGGAATTCGATTACAAGGGAAGAAAAACTTACAATTTATACCAAAACTTTTAATAAACAAAAAATTTTATAAGCATTGATGTACTGTACATATTATTATGGATGATTTATGATATTATTAGACAAATCTATGATTTTTGAATTCATCATACATTCGGACTTTTTAACGTGATCATTACGTAATCGATTTCGTATTTTGCTATGAATAAATCCAAAAGTGGAAAATTTTCTCTGCCTACTGATAATGTAAGAATAATTGATGTCATATAAATTATTTCATTTATCATATGTTAAAACTTTTTGGCAATATTACAAATTTTCTAATCAAACAATTTGTTAGTAAAATCTTTCACATAAATGCTATATGGGATATCACAGACTTTAATATTAATGATTTGATTTCATTCATATATTAAAAAAGAAACAAATAATGTAAATTATTATGATTTATTATTATATTATTAAATTATTAATAATAAATAGAATTTTTCAGTTTTATAGAAATTAGTTTGTATATATAATATATGAGTTCAATATTATTTTATAATGACTTATTATATTTTAATTAAAAAAATTAATTATAAATATATTAATTTAATAGTATAAATAATAAAAAAAAATTATTTTTTATGTATTTAGAATATTAGAATATTTAATATTAGAATCTTAATCTTTTTTATGTATTAAATATATTAACAAATAATAGTAAAAAAGTTTTATCTAATTTGTTATATATAAGATTTTAATTTAAACTAAAATGATAATCTAATAAAAATTTATAAATAAATACAAAAAGTATGTAATAATTTAATATCAAAAAATTTTCATATTTTTATATAAGAATCTATGATATTATTAAAATAGAAGATATTGTAAAACTTTGAAAATTATAAGATATTTTTATCCAAAATTTTCTTTAAATTTGTTAAAATTAACAAACTTAATTATTGCCTTTTAATATATTAAAAATATATAAATTTTATCTTAATTATTATAATAATTAAAAAATGCATTTTTTTATATTTTATTTTTTTAAATTCTATTCTATTTTATATCTAATAATTAATAATAATTAATTTATATAATAATATGATATAGAATTATATAATTTTAAATTTACAGTAATATCTAATTTATTAATTTTATAGTATTTTAAATTTACAAAAATTAACTTTATATTTTATATTTATCATATATTTTATTTATTTTTTATTATATTTTATAATAATTAAATTATAAATTATATTTAATAAGATATATTTATTTATAATAAAGAAATCTCTTTTTAAACTATATTCATTATTATTTTCTATATGTTATTATTGTTTATATTGTTTACATCTGTTTAAATTGTTAATCTCATTTGAATCATTATAAACTTAAAAGTTGATTATGATAATATTTGTCTTATAGTAAGTAACTAGTTTGATTTTATATATTATTTTCTATTATCAAGTTATTAGTTTGATAATTCTAAATATAGAGTTAATAATAAAACAATTTCTTTTTATTTTCTAGTACTAAAATATTTAGTTTTTTAATACAATTTAAAAATTTGTTAAATAAAATAATTAACATTAGTTTTATATAGTAAAAAGTTTCAAAAAATATAAGTTAATTAGAAAATGAATTAGTTTAAATAAATAAAATAAAATAATAAGAAAATAACTTAATAAATAATAATATATTATTAAAATTCTTTAATAAAAATAAAAAAATAAAATCAAGTATTATAATCAAATAAAATAAATATTATAATATACAAAAATATTTAAAAGATAAAAATATAAAATTAATTAAAAAAATTGAAAAAATAATATAATATATTAAGAAATTACTAAAAATAAAAAAGTAAATCATATAAATAATAATATTTTTTGATAAATATAAAAATATATAAGAAGAATAAGTAGATTACTAATACTTATTACTATAAAAATAAAAGAAATATATGGGGCCTTTACAATAGAAAGGGAGGAAACTCCAAAAAAATTAAAATTTTAATTTATAAGCCAAAAATGTTTCAAATACTATAATTTGTTCAGATTTAACCTTTGGAGAAAGGGAATGTAATATTGGAAGCGACTTTTTTGAGTTTCCTCCCTTTCTATTGCAAAGGCCCTATATAAATTAAAATGTGAATTTTTAAAATAAAAATTTTAAACTTAAATAATTAATTTAATATTATAATATATTCTATAATATTATTAAATATATAAAAAGTAAAATTATAAACTATTAATTAATATTAATATAAATCAAATTGATAAAATTCTTTTATTAAATTTAAATGATATTCTTAAAATTTGTTTAAATTATATAATTAATTATTTATCTTATCTATATATTAATAATTTTATTTATTTAAAATAAAGCTTGTAATAATAACAAATTATTAAAATTTATTAAAGATTATAATTACATTAAAATAAAAAGCTATACTTAATAATTTTAAAAAAAAAAAAAAAAATATTTTTGAAATAATTTTAAAAATATAATTAATAAATCAAAATAAAATTAATAAATTAATAAAAAAAATAATTACATATAATTAATAGTTAAATATATTAATAATAATAAAAATATAGTTTTAATATATTATTATATTTAATTATAATTAAGAATATATAAAATCATTAATAATAAATTTATCAAATAAAAATTTGCTTATTTTAATAAGTATTTTTTAAGTTTATAAAAAAAATACTAAAAAAGAAAATTTGAATATATGTATTTTTTTTATAAAAATATTATATTATAATTATAAATAAATAATTTTATTAATTTTTATATTAAGATTAACTTTAATTAATCAAAAGTTTTATTAGTATTATTAATAAATAATATATTAAAATAAATATTATAATTAAAATATTTTATATTAAAAATTTATTAATAATAATAAAAAATAAATATTATTTTTTCTGATATTTTATTTTAATAAAATTTATTATATTTAATTTATCAATATTTAAATTTTTTTTAAAGTTTTATATTATAATTAAAATTTTGGTAATAAATTCTTAAGATAATAATTATTTAAATAAAAAAATTTTTTTAAATTTATTAACATTCTTTACTTTTTTAAAATCGATTTTTTTTGAATCTTAAAAACTAACTGATAAGTTGAATTCTTCTTTTTAGATTAAGCAGATTTCTTTAGAAATATTTACTAACATTTTTTTCTTCTTAATATTTTTAGATTAAAATGTAATAAATCTTAATTTTAATTATAAATTTAAAAAAAATTTTTTTATTAAATTCTGATTATAATTAAATTTATTAAAAATGTTATTTTTATTAATATTATTAGATTTATCTCAGATTATTGAAATCATTTATTTTACATCAATAGATGATAAACAAACTGAATCTTTTTAAAAAAATTTCTAAATCCTTATATATAAGGCAAAACAGTACTATTTATTAGTCTAACCTACAAGTATACTAATGAACAATTTAATCCGTATTATAATAAAAGAAAATTTATTAAAATATTTTTTTTAACCAATTAAAAAATTATAGATAATTCATATGATAATACTTACATAAATAAATTGATTATACTTTTTAATCATTTATTATATCTTATATACTGTAAATAAAATTGATTATACTTTTTAATCATTTATTATATCTTACATATTAAATTAGAAAAATATTAAATATTAAAATTTTCTTTTTTTTGAATAATTATAAATTTTTCATGCCTTTCATGAATACTTAAGGAAAAAAGGTAAATGAATTTTCTAAAAAAAAACCTACAAGTTTTACTTATTTATATGCAATAAGTAAAAACGTCATTACGATTAGGTTTTTTCCGTCCACTGTAATACTTGTACTAATTCATTTATATTTTCTAAACAACATAACATTTTGTATAATTCTCAGTTGTACAGTATCCAATTGAGTTAATATTTGTTCCAATTCCTGTAATTTCTTCCTTTCGATTTCATTCAACAATTGAATATTGGAACTCCTATTTAATTGTCTTAATGCGTCCTCTTTTTCCTTCTTTTCTAAGAGCCTTGATGAACCTGATTCATAATCAAATCTCACTTGGTGTATATTAGCCAGTGTACGATAATAATAATTCAATAATGCATCATAGCACCTTTTATAATCTACATCCCATAGATAAAATGTTCTTGAGGGTGCTCGATCTGCTGATCTTGGAACTTCCTGGAGGGAAAGGAAAGTAATTGAAGGTTATTAAATCTTAAAAAGTATGATGTTTCTTGTGAAGAAACTTTATAAATTACTTGTATTTGTAAAAAGCCTCCAATCATTAGTTCTGTCAACTTTTGGCGAACTTCCAAAGGATTCATTAAAGCTAAATTAATAATCTTTAAAGAAAAATGAATAAACGAATTATTATTTTTGTTGTTTGTAAAAACTTCATTCAAATTGACAAGCTAATTAACTAACCGCCTTTTCATCTAATTTGCCCTTTTCACTTAATATTCTAACAATTCTCAATCCCTTAAACCCATATTTTTCCATAATAACATCCTCAAAAATTTCTTTTTTCAATGATTCACAAACTTCATGATATCGAAAGGTATACATTCCACCCGTATTTTCATCTTTCTTTCGTAAGATATTTGCATCATCATTTTCCATAAGATAATCTAAATATTGTTTGATTAAAATTTCACGAGTTACTCCTCTTCTCGCACTTTGCATCTGCTGATTAAATAAATCAGTCTTTTCGACTGGGACACTCCTAATAATTCTTTGTGCTGATATTGCGCCTGTAACCAGTTATATTTAAATTAATGACGATATTTGAAGCATTTTCATTATCAATAATTCGTTTTCTTACGTGATTCGATATCGCTTGGTTTCTCATCGTCTGCGATGTCAAGGATAACTTTTGTTATAATACTTGCTGATTGATTAATACGAGTTTTTACAAACTCAACAATTTGCTACAATCATAAAATAGAGAATTAACATTGTTTAAAAAAAATAGTAATAATAAAAAATTAATAAATTAGATAGATTGTTCCTACCCTATTTCTCGATTTAGCATTAAATTTTTCATAGTTCACGCGAAAATATTGATTTTCCTAATGGTAAAACTTTTTTAGCCAAAGAAAAAAAAAAAAAGTTTCTATAAAATGATCTACAAACTTACATCAACTGAATCTTCTCCTTTTTGTTGCTGCAAATCCAAGGGTAATTAAAAACGTTTCATTAAATGTAATTCAAAAACATGTTAAATTAATTATATTCAAACCTTAGCTGGTCTTTCAATATTTTCAACATTTTCGAAATTAATTTTACGTTTCTAATAATAAAAAAAAGTTTAAATATCGATAGATAAAAAAAAAAATTTTTATAATGTTTTTAGTCCTCACCGATCCTGTCGAAACGTTGTCATCATCGGCTACAGCTGCGAGTTTAGCTTTCACTTCAGCCATTTGTTTTTTTGTAGGAATAAAGTTAGTGACTTTTGCTAATTCGCGTTGTTCAGCCTCTGATGCTTTATCCTGAGCAGACTTTGAATCTGTTATTTTTACTGGTGTAAGATAACGTTTTACAACCATTTTATTAAACGTCTCTTTCAACTCTTTGAATTCTATAAAGGAAGTGTGTTGGCTTAGATAATACTTATAAAATAAAAGAATCTCTTAATTTACTTACTATTTGTTCTCTTTGATATGTTTCGATCTTCGATAAATCCTGTGAACGTTCCTTTACCAGTTAACAGCATATAATGAGTTATTTCATCAGCCCCCTAATAAAGTCATTTATATGAACTGTTATATATATATACTTGTATATATAAAAAATCAATAGTATCAATTCAAACCCTATGCCTAGCCCATTCATTCGCATATTTTACATAAATTCCGAAATTAAGTCTCGCTAAAATCTCACTTTGTTCAATAGAATAATGAATCGAATTACGTGATCCTTCTCTAGTTTCAGCCCAATATACCAGATTGTGTTGAATTAGTACGAAGAGACATTCGCGAGTTTTGGATAAATTTTGTTTTGAAAATTTAGATATGGATACTAATGGAAGTCGACCTTTTTGTAATAATACCTTGGCTACTTCCTATAATACAGTGTTAGATAATAATATCATAATAAGCATATCTTTAAGGTTTTTCAAAGTAAATTTAAAAATACCTCAATAATTGGGCCGAAATCGTCCCGAATTAGATAACAACATAAAAGCAAAAGCGCTTGAGCCATTATTAGACTGTTCAAACTTTGCGATCCGTTTTTATTGGCAGATCTATTAAGCTTTTATAAATCACGTGTAATGTATTCAAAATGGATCCGGATTTGTTGTTTTACTTTCTCTCTCTTTCTCTTTTGCATCAAATCAATTATTATATTAAATAAAAGTTCATTATTGATATTTTGGTAACAAAGGTTCCAAAATAAATCACTGAAAGTTAAAAATCCTTTTCGGTTTTAACAATGTAGTTTCGTTAATTTTCCATATATATATATTTATATTTATATTTATATATTTATATAAACCAATTACAACTCAAATAATTCAAATATTTTAAATACAATTTCGGCACGATTTTTGATTATTGAATATCAACATGATTAAAAATTTTTTGATCATCTTTAACTTATTTTCGTTTATAAATCTAACCTACTAAGCACTATATATATACTGTATATATAATCTTATAAATGAATTTTCTGCTATGACTTTTACATACTTTCCTCGTTCATCCTTATCAATTTCAACAGCACGAAGACTTTTATCTCGCGCAGCTGCAAACAAAAGAACAGGAGGACCGCCGCCAGGAACGCCTGGAGCAACAAATTATAACATTACTGATACACGTTACGAAGTAATTAAGCGTATCCTCTTTGAAACTCCTAAACCAGAATTACCACAATTCACAGAAGAAGATCTTGAAAGACATGAAACTATTGAAAGAGCTTGGAAATTATATTTACGTAATCAACGTGAAGCGAAAAGTGAAGAAATGTCAGCAAAATATAATATGTTAAATGAAGCAAATATACAGCTTGAACAAATAAGTAAATCTTTATTTGATTCAGCCCAACTTGGTAATAAGACTATGTTGTTTCCGGGTCAATTGAAAATCCCTACAGAGACTCCTTCGTTAAGTGGATGGAATTATGATTACATTCCTCCCCCGGAACCTGATCCATCACCTCAAACAAAGGAAAGAGAAGAAAAAGGTTCGGAGGAAGCAAAAATTATAGAGTGAGTATTGATAAAATTGGTATTAGGAATTGGTTATTCGGAGTTGATACTAATTTAAAGTACGTTCATGGGTAGGATCGATCAAAACTAAAAGGCATGGATTTCGTGATCGGCATTGTCATTTGAAAGATTTCCTGTACGCGTTTTCATTATGATATTGAAAACGTAAATCTTCGTACATCTCGGATCTTAATTTAATAAATTAATTAAAATTTGCACAACTTAAAAATTATAAGATCAACACTTATTATTCATTTCTATTAAAGATACAAAGTATTTGATTATTGATGTATATCATTTGTTGCATGTATTGTAAATTTTTCTGTATAAGTGAACTTGTCTAATTAAGATATTTATAAATACATTTCTAACAACGCTCTTGCGTCTTTTGCATTCAAATTAACATCCTTATTTCCTTGAAAAGCGATTTCCCACAAAACCGGACAAACCTCGGGTCTAATAGAATAGATTCCACTTACAACCTGTGTAGACCTAAAAATCATAAGCAAATACTTATGTCTAAGTGCTTTAACGTCACCGGTCTGGGGTAAAATAAATTTAGTTATTTTTAAATTGGAATTTTATGCAAAAGTTTATAAATGCGAAATAAATAAATTAAACTATTTACTTTCATATTCACTCCCGTGATACACATTCTTTCAGCCCATTCTCTCACCAATTTCATTCGTTCTACACAGCCTAAAGTCGTCAATTTGTTGGCAACTTCATCGCTATAAAATTCTATAAATAATTTTACAACCAATTCTTGAATACTTAATCTCCAAGGTGTAATGTTGATTAAGTCAGTTATAACAGATCTCCATCTTTCAGAACAAAGTACACGAACTCGATGCGATTTGATAATTATAGTTATGATTGATTGATACAAAGATTCGTACATTTCTAAATGCATAAATTCATTTTCATTGCGTGGCAATGATGCATATATAAATGGTAAACATCGATGCACAGCAACTGGATCACCTTTATCAGTTCTCTCCACGATATACTGACAAAAGATCTATATATGATTAATTTAACCAAATGTTAAAAAAGATAGACACATAAAAATATTGATATATATCTCTCTATTTCTTTCTTTATATAAATACCTTTCTAGCGGGATCACTTTTCTTCAATAATTGAGTTTCCGTTTCGCCAAATGAAATCCAAGAAGGTGTGGGTGGTATTTCTTGCATATCAAGTACATCTTGCGTGGTCTTCTCTTTACGGGCTTTACTACTTTCTTTTGCTTCCCTTTGTCTATCATCAACCATCATGTATAATATGTGCTTATAAAAGCCTTCATAAAATTCTTTTTCATCGAGATCTGGCAAATTGTAATTTTTACTAATTATCATTCGAAATGCATTAGAACCGAAATGTAACATTGAAGTACACCATTTAAGGGTTGATGACATTTCTTTTTCTTTCTAATGTTATTTTTTTTTAAAAAAATTAAAAATAAAAAAAAAAGGTTTATGAAAAGAAACGAATTCCCAAATTGATTAAAAATAATGGAAAAATTAACCACCATGATCATCAGCATGTTACTATTGACGAGTCGCAATGGTAGCCTTTCTAATGATTTATCAACATATTTTCGTAAAATATCTACTATTCGAGCAGAAAAAACGCTTACGACAAGAGGATCTTGAAAAACCATCGCAAGTTCGCTGATGAAATTGATAAATTTAGTAGTATAATTTGAGAATTTTAATAAAGTTAACTTTAAAAAAAAATATAACTTACATGATGTCGGGGGATGCTGATTTTTTAGCTTTGTTGTACATGTTTATCAATTCATTAATACGGTTTGAATCAAATCCTTTTCTTATTCCAGCATTTACGTACCAAATAAAATTAAACGAATGATCACGTTTACACATCTATTTTTATAGATAAGGAAATCAGTATCATTCAAATCAGAATATTGATTCAATTTAAATGGTAATTAAAAATAATATATCTACTTGAATACGGTCCGCCTTTTGCATTCCCATGAAAAAATCGAAACGAAATGAACAAATTCTAGACCATCCATTTTCAACAAACCAAATTCTGATTAGACTTTGCATTTCATCAAACAATATGTTGTTTTCACCAATCATATTTATAATGTCCTGAAGCCCTTTATTATTCATTCTAAACATTAAATAAATTTAACAATTAGATAATATAATAAAAACTGGAGTTATAATTCTATTATACAACAAACCTAAAGTCTAAAACATCGTTTATGTTAGTTCCTCTCATTTCTCTGCTGAGAAAATACAAGCTTTGATCTTTCAAATATTCTTCGAAAAGTGGGGTCACATAAAGTCGGAATAATGATCTATCCCGAGCAAATAATTCTCTTTTAATACTTATTGGTGCCTCCTATTACTTTGACAATGTAAAAATAAATAAATTATGTCAAAAGCAGATTTGAACAAAATTTAAGAGATAAATAATTGCCTTACATCTACAATATTCGGGTCGTTCACTAACCAATCATACATATCAGAAGATATCCGGTCATGATATTTAACACAAGCAGCTAATACAGCCTTTCGCATTTCCTTCATAAACATAAACTGTGAAGCAGCATTGATAAAATCATTAAATCTAAATTGTAAACAGTTTAAAGGTAAATAACTTTCATTTTTGGATTAATAATCAAAACCTTTTATTTTACATACTTTTCAACACTCCAAGTCTCATTATTTATCATTCTCACAAAAGATTCACCTAATTCTTCCACGAGAGCCTTATTAGCTTCATATCTTGACAAACCACTATGGTCAAGTAAAGGACGTACATTCTAAGTTGTAAAAGGATATATAAGCTTTCAATGCTTCTCAAAAAGGACAATAATAATAATAATAATAATACCTCAATGTCAGGTATATCAATTTGAGCCAAATATTGAACATCTTGGATTCCTGTTGTTAGATTCTCGGAACCTGCTAAGACTGAAGCTATTCCAGACATGGATTTTCGACCCAGCGAAAGGTCATTAGCATCTGGAACAGGATTTCGGTATGGGTGTGACATCGAAAAAGTAATTACACTTAATCTCTAAGACGCGTCAAGATCCAAGTTTAAAACAGCATTATTTAAACAAAAAATCACGTGAATTTATTGATCTTCCCCTTTGTTAATTTGTGTCGAAAGGGGGGGAGGGGAAACTGCCGGGAAAAATAAATTTCTGTCCATATACTGTTCTTTAAATGCATTTTCCAGTCCAATATATTTTCGATATTTTACTTAAGTAGGTATAATATAGTTAATTTGAATTTATGTAAAATTAAATATAACAAAATTGTTTTTTTATAATATAATATTTGGGAATTTGTATTTTGCTACACAAAATGCACCCCCTATATTTATATTAGAGTTAGGTTAGGGTTAGGGGTTATTCATCACAACGCATCATACCCCTATGTGTTTCATTTTACGGCTTATTCTGAGAACTTAGAAATATTTTTATTATATAACACATCCTGCATTTTGTGCGTAGAAAATAAAAAACCCATATTATTTATTATGATCTAGTGCAAAAAGATTTGTACAGCAAAAAAAAAATTTAATTTTGTCTATATATAAAAATTTCTTAAATTTTAATAATATATTTAAAAATTTTTTATATAATATAGAATATACTTCAATCTATCTTTTTATATAGTTTACTTTTGTATTTATATATAAAACTTAATAAAGCAAAACTTTTGGATTTTTTTAAAAAAAATAAATAAATTTTTTATTAAAGAAATAAATTTTGATATTTTTCATAATATATCAATTTTATGAGTTCATATTATGCAAGTGTATAATTTTATATACAATGAATATATATTTTAAATTTTAACTAAATCGAATTAGTAGTTATTAAAAAATCAAGTTCTAAAAGTTTAATAATTTTATTTTTTTCATTATAAAAAATATATATAAGTTTATATAGTAAATTTTATAATAATCTATACAAATAAATTGAATCAATTTTAATAAATTTTTAATTATTATATTCGAATTCTCCTGATGAGATAATTTCAACAAGCCTAAAATTATAAAATTTTGATCATTAGTTAATCATTAAAGTTTGACATCATTTATACAAAAATATTTATATAATGTTGATTTTTGATAATAAATTTCTCTGCAGTTAATAATCAGAATTTTATAATTTTAAGTTCATTGAAATCATCTTATCAAGAAGAATCTGAATCCAAAATTAGTTTTACCATTTTTTTTATTGATTCAAGTCATCTCAAATAAAGAATTACTTTTATTTTATATTTTTAAATATATATTGATATAGGCTTTTTACAATAAAAAGGAGGAAACAGTTGAAAAAATAAAAAATAAACTAATAAAAAAATTTAATATAATGTGACTGAAGTAACATTTTTAACATATTAAAGTAGAATAGGTTACATAATAAAATTTTTAAATAATTTAAATAATTCATAAAAAATGTATATCATTTATAGTTTTAAAATTATCTAACTCATGAGTTGATATAAATCATGCAAATCATAATTTAAGAGATTTTACAAAAAATTTGCAATTCTTTAAGAATTTTACAGATAAAGGCAGATTTTAAATAAAGACAAATCTTTAAAAGATTTTGCAAAAAATTTGCAATTCTCTAAAAGTTTTACAAATAAAGATAAATCTCTAAGAAATTTTGTAAAAAAATTTGCAATCCTTTAAGAGTTATTTACAGATAATTACAAATTTTTAAGAGATTTTACAATATTTTTTTGATTTTAAAATTTTTATAATTTGTAACTTTTTATAATAATTATAATTTCAATTAAGAAATTTATTTATATACTAATTATTCTATAAGAATTTTCTTGTTTTGAAATTGCATTTAAATTAACTTATTAAACTTTATTTAAATATTATTATATTTTTTCTTTATTTTAAAAAAATCGTAAATTAAATAATTTAAATAATATTAATATATTTTGATAATAAATACTTTAATATAAAAATTTATTAATTAAGTTACAAAAAAAATTTAAAAATATTTTTCAATAAAATATTAATATGTTTCAACCATCTTATATATTATTTAATAATATTTTTTTGAAACCTATGCTGAATTCAATTTATTAAAACAGGATTTAGAAAATTTAAATCAACTTTAAGTTATATATTTATTAAATGAAAATAAAAATTTATTTTATAATATGAATAAAGATAATGAAAATGAAAATAAAGATAAATTTGATAAACTTAGAGCTCTAAATAGGTTAGTTTAGATCAAATCAATCAAATTACCTAAACTAAGAGGATTATATCAGATTAAACAAAAATCTGATTTAATTTAAATTTTTATTTGACCTGACCTAATTTGATCTGATCAAAATTATTCAAGAAGAAAAAGTAGTTATTATTCAAAAATGATAATGAATTGTTCTAATTGAATGATAAAATATCATTTTTGAATGATAAATAAAATATTATTTAAAAAAATTATTTTATTTAAATTTTTTTAGGTTAAGTCAAATTAATTTATTGATCTGATCTGACATTAATCTGAAAATTTACTGACCTAACCTGAATTTTCAATTCAGGTTAGGTCAGATAAACAGGTCAACCTGATCTGATTCAGAGCTTTAGATAAACTTAATAAACTTAATAAATAGCAAGTATTATATGATTTTAATGAATTAATTTTTTTACTTATTTAAGTTTACAAATTTTATCAAATTTATTAGTAAGCTAAAATTATAAAAGATTGATAATGATGATAAATATGATAAATATTAAAATCTTAAGAATAATTTAAATAAATTTAATGAAGAAACTCAAAAGTAAAAATAAGACTTTAAGATTATTATCTTAAATTATTAGATTTAAAATTTTATTATATATGTTAAAATCTATTTTTTAGTAATAGGCTTTATAATCAATTTATATAATAATATAAATATTTTAAAGAATAAAATTTTAATATCAAACTACTAGAAGGAAAACTTGAGATATAAAAATAGATTATAAAAAAAATAAAATTTTTTTTCTTATATAAACTGAAATATTGTTTAATTAAAATACTTTATTTTTTAAGTTATAATTAGTATTAATATTTTTATCATATAAGATAAATGCTAAGAAAGAGAATCAAATCAACATTTTATATATTTAAAATTTTTGCAAGCAAATTTGCTTGCAATTATATTTAATAATTAAAATTATTTATAATAAATGTAAATATTTTTAAAATAATTTATTTAAAATTAATATTTATAATAAATTTTATAATATTTTTTAAGTAAAAATTCAAAAACAAATGTAATTAATTAGTGATATTTTAAAGATAAATATATGATAAATATTATAAAAAAAAGTTAAAATTTTAAACTTATATATTTTGCTATTTATTGATCTCTAAAATGTAAAAATATAATCATTTAATAGGTTTTAATAAGTTAAATTTAATAAATTAAATTTTATTTTCTTGTAATTATTAAATAATAAATTATTTTAAAAAATTGAAAAATTGAAAAATTAATATATATTAATAATTATTAATTTTAAAATTTTAAAAATATTATCATTAGATATACTTTAATATGACAAATATAATAAATTTTATTTCATCTTTTTATAATCACTAAATATTAAAATATTATAATTTTTCTATAATGTTTATAATCAATTTATACTTACATTTTAAGGAATAAGACTGTAGTATAATATTTTATTATACTTATAATCTTTCTTTATTAAAAAATATTGTTAATTAAATTTACTATAAAAATAATTTTTTTGAATATCAATTTGATTCCTTTCTTAATATTCATCCTATATAATTTTTGATTATGTATAATATATATTTAATTTTAATTTAAATAAATTATTATATTTTTTATTTATAATTTTTAATAATTTGTTTATTAAAGATTTTAATCTATAATTATATAATAAAATTTGTAAATTTTTATTTAAAAATCAATTTTTAAAGTGTATTCTATAAATTTATAAAAAATTTACTAATAATAATATTATGTAATTTAATATAAATATAATTATAATATATAGGCTAAAGATAATAATAATTGAAAGATAATTTAATTTAAATAATTAATTAAAATAAAGAAAATTTTATATTTTAATATATATAAAATTTAAAGTTTTGTTTTATAGAAAATGAAATCAATAAAGTTAAATATATGTAATAAGAGTTAATAAATATATTATTTTAAAGTAACATTGTATAATTATTATTTTATTATATTTCTTAAAATATATGACAAAAAAAACACAAATATAATTGAAAAATATTATAAAATTGAAGAGTTATTTTAATAATTAATTTAAATATTATTCTTCTAATAAAAATCTAATATTCTTTTATATACAGTCAATTCTTGTTATAATGAATTCTATGTCCTAGACCTCAACTTCGCTATAAGGCTATAGTGAAGATTTTAAGAGATTTGATT